CCACCACCACACACACACACACACACACACACACACACACACACACACACACACACACACACACACACACACACACACACACACACACACACACACACACACACACCGTGGCCCTCGATTCCCAGCCCCTCTGCCTTGTCCCCCCGGCGCGCGTGGCAGGCTGCTGGAGGCGTTGCTGGAGAAGGAGCGAGAGTGGCACAGGCAGCTGCAGAGGGTGCTCCAGGCCGCGGAGCAGGAGGCCAGGGCTCTGCAGGGATCCAAGCCCCTAGGTGAGCGATGCCAGGACTCGCCGGAGCTGGGCTGGGGGAGCTCTGTGGGGCTGCTGGGCGCAGTGCGGGAGGGGAAGCAATGGGAGATGGGCATGGCAGGGTGGAACACACCTTTGTCTCCCCCCAGCTGACCACATCGGGGCAGGGGCTGGGTCTCCCTCCGAGCCCCACGTTGGGGCCCATGGCTCTGGGGCGGCAAGGGGCTGGGTTTGTCTCCCCCAGGCCACACATCTGGAGCCCAAAGACACGGGGGAGGCTGAGCCGCAGAGTCCGGGGGAGGCTGACTCGGGTCCGAACCCTTCTGTCTGCACAGCCTTGGCCGCGCACCCCCGGGAGCCCCGGCAGGGGGCGGTGGACGCCCTCCTCGTTGACTGGTTACAGAGCCACGGAGCGGATGAGGATGCGACCACGACGGTACGTCCCCGGCGCTGTGCGAGCCAGGCCAAGGGGCCAGCGGCTTGGGGACAGCCCTGGGCCCCGCCATGACCCCAGCCTTAGCAGGGAGAGGGAGAGGCAGGCTCCAGTGGGACACCTCCTACTCCCTTTCCCCCAGGCCCTGGTGGGGTGGGGGCCGGGTGCCTGGGCATAAGGCAGCTGGGTCTGGGGCATCCCTCCCACACGCCCTGGCCCTCCAGCACTCCCTTCCCCATGGAGCCAGTGGGGTAGCCCCATCCCAGCTCTGGCTGCAGCGCCCCTCGCTGACCAGCTCCGCTACCTGCTTTCTCCCCCAGTTCCTGCAGCACGGCTTCACCCTGCCCGACCTGCTGACCTGCGCCACCCGCGACGACCTGCTCTACACCGGCATCAGGTAGGGTGACAGGAGGGGGAGCCAGGGCCAGTGCCCCTGCCCTCTTCCCCAGAGGGGCACTGCTGGCTGGGCCAAGAGGCCACGCCTAGGGCTTGTCCCTCCCAGCCCAGCCACAATGGCTGGGGGTCGGTGGAGCGAGTTGCTTTGGTGAACCATGAATCTGACCTGGCAGCCTGAGCAGACTCTGCCCTGGGAGCGTTTCACTGCAACTCTGCTGGGGAAAGACCCTGCCCTGAGTGGGGCGTGAGGCCCATGGAGACCATCCCCCTGTGTGGCTCCCGTCCCATCCCCTGGGCACCAGCCAGAGGGCGAGGCATTGAGGCTGTTTGCAGCCGGTGCCAAGGGGGACAGGGGTGTGTCTCACTCGTCTCCGTCTCTCCCTGCCAGAGGGGGGCTGGTGTGCAGGCTATGGGGAGCCATCCAGGAGCACCGGAAATCCCTCGCCAAGCAGGCACAGCGGGAAGCCGAGTGAGAGACGGGGCAGCCGCAGCCTCCCCTGCGGCATCGGCCTCCCCGTGCCGTAACGAGCGCCCGCACTCAGCCAGAGCTGACCGCCGCCTCGCCGCCTTCACGCCCTACCAACCAGCCACGCCGCCTCTGCCCTCGAGCTGGCAGATGGCTCCTACCATCGCTCTGCTGGGCACCATGGCCCAGAGCAGCCTCACGCCCACTGCCCTGCTTGACCCTGGGTCCCAGAGGCGTAGCGAGCGCCCTCCATACCCTCCGACCGGAGGGGGCCCCGCAAGGAAGGGGGCCCCTAAAAGTGGCAAAATAAATACTGCATTCCAGTTTCTGCATTGGAAGGGGCCCCCCTCGGACATATGTTCGGAGGGGGCCACATTCTTTGTTGCTACGGCCCTGCTGGGCCCGCATCTCGTAGCAAGGGGGAGAGTGGGGCCATTTGCTGAGGGACGGCTGCCGCCCTGCCCATCGCACCCATGTGACCCCCCCAGCACTGGCTGGCGAAGGAGGTGCCCACGCTGCTGCCTTGGCAGGAGAGAGAGGAGGCTGCTGCAGCAGGACAGTGGGGCTTTGCTGGTGAAACTAAGGGGACCGCAGGGGCCTCGGCCTCCCCCCCACCGTGACTGTAAACTCCAGCAATAAACAGCCTCCCAGCTGTGCCCCCGGCTCCCTCCTCATTTGGGCAGAATGGGGGGAGGGGGCAGCACCTGTCTGCAAAGGGAAAATGAAGCCAGGTTCCTCCCAGCCTGGGTGGCGGCAGGGCAAGCTGTGGGCCCGGCAGCTTCTTGGAGCCCTGTCCCACCTCAGCCCAGGCTGGCATCCCTCCTCCATCCCCAAGGAGGCAGCGCCCCCCTCGGGCTGTCTGAATCCTGCTCCCCCACCCGCCAGCAGCCCCCTACCCCCCTCTTGCCCTGCATTGGGCGTGGGGGGGCAGAAGGTGGCAGTGAGCCCATCCCGGCCTGCTCACGCCAGCAGCAGCCGAAAGCACCAGCCAGGTGAGCACAGATCTCCCGCAGCCCGGCGGCTCGCCCAAGCCCGCGTGGCTGCGGCAGGGTTTATTTTCTGTACAGTCACACAAGGAAAGCCCTGGCAGCTCGGTTCCACTGTAGCCAATATGTCCAGGCCCAGCCATTCCCAGCCAGGGCAGCTGGGCTCCCAGTCCCCCTGAAACAGGGGCCGGGGCAGGCGTTCAGAGCCAGCACCGGCGCGAGGGGCTATGTCCGGGGGGTGAGGTTTGTCCGCAGGGGCAGCAGCGCTTCTACCCACTGGCGGGGCTCCGCCAGCAGGCTCTCCCAGACCTGCCGCTCCTCCTCCGTGGAGTCCATCCATGCGACCGGGAGCCCGTAGCTACTTCCTGCGTGAGGACAAAGCGGCACTGTCAGCTGGGGTCTCTCCCACACAGCCCACCCTCCAGCTGTCCCTGCCCTAGAGCACCAGGGGATGGACTCCCTGTATCAGCCCACAGCCCCCTTCCATGGGTCAGGTATAGACCAAGCTGGAACTGCCTGGGCTGAGAGCCCTCGCCCCTGCCCTAGGGGTGGATACAGCCCCGAGCATCCACCCCGGCAACATGCCTGGCCCTGTGTGCCCACAGCAGCTGCCAGCAGCGGAATCGAGTCGAACAGGGAGCGTGGGCACAGCCTGGGCACATCCCCCAGGTGATGAAAGTGCTGGGAGGGGGTGAGGGAAGCAGTAGTGGCTGTCGCTCTGGGATAGCCTCTGGGGAGGGGTGCCAGTCGCCCCAGCTGTACCATGTGCACCATAGGGCAGGGGTGCCCATGCCAGTACAGCCTAACCTGCCCCTCCACAGGCCCCCTGCAGACGCCTCCCTCCCCTGGCACGCAGGACCCACCGGCCCCACAGGGGCTCCATGCCCAGGAACGCGCCTCGCATGGCAGCACCGGCCAGGCGCCCGCTCACCTGTGCCCAGGCTCAGCCGGATGCCGCCCAGCTGCTGCTTGGAGAAGGTCTCGTGCTCCCAGACAGTGAACTCGGCGCAGGCCTCGCTCAGGTCCTTGGCCTGGAAGCCGTCGTACACCATGGTGTGGTTGAACATGGGGCTCAGGCTCCGCTTCACCACCCGCGTCTTCTGGCAGCTCGTCTTGCTGTCATCAGGCAGGACGTAGCTGGGGGGGGGAAGCGTCAGCCTGAGGGAGGAGCCCAGCGCACGGGGCCGCGACCAGGCAGGAGGGGCTGCTGGGTTGTTCCCCTGCACACGAGCCCAGGGCGTGGGGGTGCAGGAAGAAGGCACCAGTGGCCTCGGAGTTGGTGGGAAGGTAGCGGCTCCGCTGCTGCTCGGGCCTGTGAACTGCTGAGGCCAGGGGAGAAGGGGTGGCTGAAAGGTGGGGCAGGGGGGGGAGGGGGCGCGGCAGCAGAGGGGCAGAAGACCCATACTCCTGTCCCACAGTCTCTGCAGCAGGGAGCCTGGGCTCTGCCACCCTGGCACCACCCTGAGCCCAACTGCAGCACGGCATGGTTACCGGGCACCCCCAGCCCTGCCCCCTACCATGGGCCCAGAGCTGCTGCCTGCAGCCCCCCACCCTTACCACTGAACGAAGGAGTCCACGGTGCCGCTCCGGATGGGCATGAGGCTCTGCGCTGCCTTCACCCAGATGTGCAGCTCCCCCGTGGGAGGGAGCCCAGCCCCTGGAAGAGAGGCGACGGCACAGTGAGGGAGGGGGACAAGGACGTGTGCAAAGGGGGGGGGAAGCAGGAGCATGTCCCCGCAATAACAGGGGGACACAGAACTCCTCTGGGGTCAGAGCAGGTAGAGCGAGCTCCTCCAGCGATGGGGGAGGGGAGAGAACCAGCTACCCCGGCCGAGGGGGGAGAGCCATCGCCTCTGGCCCTGGGACTGTGGGGGGAGATCCAGCCGGTGTGGGGGAAAGGCAGCTTCCTGGCTGGGGCAGGGGGAGGGCAGATCCTCCGGGGGGGTGGGGGGTGGCAGCGCCTCTGGTCGTGGGGTGGCACAGAAAGTGTCCCTCCAAAAGCGGCCCCATTTTTAGCCCTGTGCATGCCCCTGGAGGGTGGGGGGCACCTGGGCGCTGCATCTGCCCTGCCCCAGGGAGGGGCCCGTTCCAGCCAGGGCCACCAGCCGCCTACCCGGGCAGAGCTGTGACTCCCAGCGCAGGGGGTGAACATGGCTCTCGCTCGGGGCTGGGCCCAGTAAATAGGAGCGAGGGCCCCGGTCGTCACTGGGGTCTCAGCTCCCACCCCTGAGCCCCTACAGCTGGGGGGGGGCACTAGCCTGAGGTCGGTGCGGGCGAGGACAGGCCCGGGCTCACCTTCAGTGCCCACGGGGATAAACTTCAGCGCGAAGAGCAGCTTGCCCCTGCTGCCGAGAACGTCGGGCAAGACCCGCAGCTGAGAGGGAAGGAGCAGACGCAATGTTAGCAGGAGAGGCCTGGGGCTGAGAACCGCAAGACCCGGGGGCGAAGCCGTGCACCAGGGAAAGACAGTGGGCAGCGCCAGTTCTCGGGAGGGTGGGGGGGTGTCTTAATTAAAGCTCATCG